TGCTGAGGGAGACGAATCTTCTGCAGGTGGAGTAGGAGCAGCAGCGCAGGTGTTTGTGCATGAATGATATTGAAGAAAGAAGCCCAGCAGAGACAGGTGGTGTGGTTAAAAAAGCTTTAAAACAAGATCAATCACTTTAACAGACACAGCTAAAAGCATGGCCACTGTACTTCATGTTAACTACATGCTTCATGCATCAATTATATTAGGTAATTTCAAATTATGGCATAAGATTTATGTAGATACAAAGTTCTGCAAAACTTTCACAAGTTTTTTTTTTGTCCTTTAAGGCATATTTGCTTTAATGTTGTAAAAGGATAATTATCAATAATTAAGTTTTTTTTTTGTGTGTTTTTTATTAGAAAACTGCACAGGTGGAAAATGGAACAAATAGTCTATAAATAGGACTCATAACAATGTTTCTGGATTCATTTAGAACCAATCTGAAACAAACTTATCTTTAAACAGATTTGCTAAATTAAGTTAAACTTAAGCACAACTATGTAACCAAAGATGAACTAAATGAAATTAAGCTTAGAAAGAGAAAATTCAATATAAGGTAGGCTTACATCAGCTGAGTTATATTAAACTTTGCAAAATTTTGTGAAAGCTAAGCTAAAGTTTGATGGGCTATACTGACAAAAGTTAAGCTAAACTTATTCTGAGACAATGATTGATCTGGTTTAAATGTGTTAATTGTAAACAGAGATGTGTCATTCTTCAGTAGATCTCGATCTGGTACGCCAAGCTTTCAGCTTCTTGGGAATAATACTGTTGGAACTAAAATCTTAATTTTCTATGAAACTGTGTTATAGTTAGGATTTTGTCATAATTTCCATTGGAATAAAGGAATCAAAACAGAATTTGTTTTCCAGCAAACTGCTCTGGAAACAGCCCAACGTTCCATCCTAATATAGTTCTTTGCTAAATGATGCATTTGTTGACACAGCACTGTTTTATCCCTTGAGCTAAAAAACCTTTTTGTTCCTGAATGATTTATAGGTTACAATACAGATCAAGGTTTGGTTGGTAAAAAGAAAGAAAAAGTGGGATATTTTAGGACGTTGTTGTGGAGGGTGTGGCTTAGACTAGTAACTGTAATTGGAAATTTGGGGGTTCAGTTTCAGCCTCTCACCTCAATGTTCCCCTGGAAAAGGCATTTTAACTTGCCTGCTTATTCTCATTTGGAGCTTTGCAAGCTTTATAACTATATCTGCCGGAAATGTGACTTTAGCGTTAAAGCACTTTGAGTCTTGACTGAGTACAAAGAGGTAAAAGAGTCATTTCTGTTTAGTTTCTCCACCCATCTGTGGAGTAACCACCAATACTCTGAGGTGCAATGATGCTAATGTCTGAATTTAGAAACAGTTTTGTTATGTAAAAATGTTAACCTTTCATGTACTGTAAGTTCTCAGGTGTTTCCAGTTCTCCTTTACTTATAAAAATAAATGTATTATTACTTCTCGTTTTGCCAAACATCTGTTGTTTCTGTGCTCCTAGGTCCAGTTTTCTGTCCTTGTTGAAGTGCGGTTTGGTTGGTTTGGTTTCTTGTTTCTTTCTTATCTAGAAGTTGCATTAGAGAAAGATGCTAGGTGTGTGTCTTTGTGTAGCGTTTTACCTTGAAAAAGCTTCCATGTTCCCAAACCACATGCTCAGACTACCTGTGCACACACAGGAGCTCAGCTCAGTGGATATAGGATGTAATTATGGGACACTCTGGCCTTATTCTCTCATCCTGTCGACCTTTACTGTTTAATTTTATCTCTTGTAACAATCATAGACTTGTACGCTTTTTTCCCCCCAAATAAATCCATCCTTGTTTCTCTCTTTGCACATTTATAGGTAAGTTTGTTTTTATGGCACATTTAGGTAGCAATTAAAATGGTTGCATACTGTAATAGGTCTACATAAAGAGAAAGTACATTTTAAGATAATTACAAAAAGAAGATTAATATTAATATAATATGTTTTTAATCCTGATTGAAAGCAACATAGGTTTTCAGCACTTTTAAAGTTTTCTGGTAGTTTTTCCAGATATGAGGAGTATAAGAACTAAATGCTGCTTCTCCATGTTTAGTTCTGGGGATTCAGACTAGTTCTGATCCAGAGGAGTTGAGAGGACTGGGTGGTTTATACGCTGCCAACAAGTCTCTGTTTTTCTTGATAAGCCATCCAGTGATTTATAGATCAACAAATGTATTTCAAAGTCAACATCCTCAGATACAAGGAGCCAGTTTAAGGATTTTAATTCAATTCAGTTTATTTATATAGCACCAATTCACAACACATGTCATCTCAAGGCACTTTACAGTTCACCAGATCATGGTGGGATCTTTTTTTGCACTGAGGTGAAGTGCTCTTTTCCCTTAGTTTTGGTGAGGAGGCTGAAAGAAGCATTTTGGATCAGCTGCAGCTGCCTGATCGACTTTTTAAGGAGACTTGTGAAGACAGCTGCAGTGATCAGTTCAGATGAATACATTAATTAGTTTTTCAAGGTCCTGATGAGACATTAGCCCTTTAATCCTGGAGATGTTCTTTAGGTGACAGAGGGACGTCTTTCTTACTGTCTTTATGTGGCTCTGAAGGTTCTGCAAGTCCATCAGTACAATCAAATTTCCACCCTTATTGGTGGTTTCTAGCTGTAATAACTGAAGCTGTATTCTAACCTTTAAATGTTTTACCTTTGGACCAAAAAAACAATTTATTCATTTTTGTTTTACTTCAGCTAAAGAAATTTTTGCCACCATCGTGAGTTAATTTTTTCTATGTAAGAACCTAGTTCATAGCTCAAACAAACTGCACCTTCTATAATGTGTAGATGACCGGACAATGCTAAGGTTGTCATCATAATCACACACACAGCATCTCACTGCAAACAAAAATACACACAAACATGGGCCGCTTCTCTAATATAAGCTTACAAGCTGATTTACAGAAAAGGGTAGGATTTTACAGCATCTTTAAAGGAGGAAATCCTATTTTAAAGTTTGACAAAAATCAAAGATGTTTGCACAAACAAATGAGCACCACATTTCATTATGATGTTATGATATGAGTACTAAATTTACCTTATTAAAACTAGAGCAAACATGTTGCTGAATAAAAGCCATTTCCTTCTGATCAACCGCTCTGTTTGATTTTGTCTTGTTGCTACATTATGCTGCAGAAAACGACATTTATTTCTGTTTGCTTCTAGTATGATCACCAGACTCCTCAAACATTATGGCTTTCATCTACGATAAAAGCAAAAACAGGAATCTAATTGGACCGGGAGATTTGTATCTGATTCAACTTTTCAGGGTCACCAGCTCTCAAAACAGAAATGCAATACAAAAACCACAAAAAGTTGCATTATAGGAATTTTGAATTTGATTTTATATTTTTTTGCAGCATTTTGTGGTTTGATATTAAAACAAAATTCTTGGGTTCATCTTTATCTTTGCTAAAGCTAACTTTTGTGGAACATGTATTGTTTTTACTCAGGCAAACTCATGTCAAACTGTAAGTATTTTTTTGCCTCTGTTGAGCTGTTAAATGGATCATGATCTAAGAGATGTTCCTGACCCACATATAGTGGTCAGGTTCATGCTCTCCAGAGGAATCTCTGCTCATCTTCCTTATTTTGTCGCAGTCGTCATTATTTCGTGCCTGTGAGTGTTTATGCAGATTACTTTCTGGATGCTGTGTGCATCCCAGTGTGCGTTCTCCCACTCCATGCCTCCTGCCGTCTGTGCCTCTAATCCCTGAGTGTGTCAGTAATGGCAGGTCCAGGTGTTCTGCACCGCCCCTGGGGGACCCCTCTTCCATGTGTGCGTGCATGTACTCCTCTCATCGGGGGGTTTAGGAGCTGTGAGTGAGGGGGCTGTCCACGATCCCATCCTCCAGAAGGGAAGGGAGGGAAGGGGGAGCGTTATGCTGGAGGTACCCGCCTCTCACAGCTTGCTTTCTGTCCTCCCTTGGGTCCAAGACCCCCCTCTACTGTCCTCCCCTGGGACTTCAGCAGCCTCATTGCCCCCCTTGTCTCTTTTCCATTTTACCTCCTGATCGCAGCTCAGAATCACCTCTTGCGGCTGCAGTCAACCCGCTGAAAGGAGCCTGTGCAGGTTTTCAGCTTGATGAAAAACCCTGCCTTTGTTCAGATGACACATAAACAAGTTTATTTGCTGACGATGGTGTGCTTGTCTTGTGAATAACAAGCTGCAGCTACCCGCTTCACTTATTATCCCACATCTGGGTAGGTGAAGATGTGTGTTGATATTGTCGATTCATCAATCAAGTCCATTTCTTTCTCTCAGGGAGAGCGTGTTTTGAAATTGTGAAGCTCTGAAATAAAACCCAGCTCTCAGGAATCCTAACTGTGAATATTATTACAATGAGGTGGGACTTTTAATAGCAGGAAAATGCCTTCAACTTCTGCGTCTTCTTGGTATAAAGTGTATTCCGTGTGTGACTCAGGTGAATGTGTTTCTGGGTTAGGCAGCGGTCTGCTCGTCCACCAAACCTCATTCTTATAAATAGATGATTTAGCCGCTGGCATACACACAATTGGATGGCTGAGCATGTGTGTGTTTGTGTGTGTTGGCATGGTGTTGTTGTTTATTTAACACTCCTGCTTGACAGCTGGTTCTCATTTCTCAGCGAACAAACAGCAGAAACAAAGATGGACTGAGATAGAGAGAGGGATTGGTGGGAATGACTTTCCTCATGGGGAATTGAACCACAAACCTTTGTCAGTTTAGCTGCATTGGTGCATGTTTTGAGCAGAGGTAGAGGAGGAGGATGCAAAGAGGGTAAAGGGTCGTGCGGAGATGAAGGGTTTGTTGAAAAATTCGTAAAAGGAAACAGATGCCAGCTCTTTATTAGAAATGGAATTTGCATGCAGAGGTGGGCGGCTTTGGGTTTTGTTTATGGGTTTTGAGTTTGTTTTTACCTTTGTCTACTGTTGCAATCGGTGCAGATGAGAATAAATCAAAAGCGCCTTAATTTTCTGGATGTTACAGGAGGAAGAAGAGGTCTAAATGTCTCCTTACCAAAGAGGGCGTCACCTCAAGAGCCCGGTAATATGTTTGAAAGACTGTAGTTATTTTTTTGTTTTACCTGAAGCTTGTGAAAAGGTTTGATTTGTTACCCTCTGTTGTGTTTTCATCAGGGAAAACTAGCTGATACACCAAACATAAAATGTTAGCTATGGAAAAAAAATGGTTTGGAATTCAGAAGGGATATTCATAACAACATGTTGTTTGCATTGAGCAGCAGTGATCCAATATATATGGAGTCTAACTGCCAACTACCATTGTAAATCAAATGTAAATCCACAGTCCACCTACAGAACAAAATCTGCTCCTCAGAGACGAACAGAAAGAAATCCTAACCACTTACTTTACCATGACCTGTTATTGTCTGGAAGTTTAATGGTTCATGATATCTAGAACATGAATAAATACTGTACTGTTCATGACCGCTATGGTAATATCAATTAGAGCAGGTTTTCCATACTTTTTACTCCTTCCAATCAAACACCGTCTCAATGTCTCTCCATCTCTATCTGTCTGAGCCTCAGCATCTTGTCCATATATATTACATATCAGGGCTTGGCTTCAGGGGCAGACACAGTTCATACAGATGGCCAAAGGTGTCATGCTTAGAAATTAGGCAGTGTGTAATAAAATTAAAGTATTGTTACATATTAATATTGACATCAACAGATAAATTTAATCATTTTACCAAACAAAACAAAAAAAAAATTAACATATTTTACACTACAATTATACTTTTATTTTGTGACACCTCTTTACTGATGTTCATTGCATGTAATGCTGAAATAATTAATCTGATTAATCATCATTAATCGCTTATTGAAATAATCATTAAGTAATTTAGTAGTGGATTAATTGTTCACTGGGCTGTAGAGACTCTAAAAATGTCTTTACCTGATAAAGCACCCCACCTTTAGAAACAGTTATACCAAAATTTTAAAACAAATATGTAAACTTTTAAAAAATTTTTTTTCAAAAATGTGCTCGTCAATATGCTCTATCCAGTACAGTAAAAAAAAGTTTGTTTCACATACTTTAATTTTGTAAAATTTCTTCTTTAAGGAACCTTTTACTATCCAAATTTTAATTGAAAAAATAATTGACAGATTAGTTAATTTGCTAAATATTTGTATAAGAAATAGTTATGGTATAAGATTACTTACATTTCTGCCTACAGGATTTCTCATAATAGTGAAATATACTTATTATCTATGAATCTTTTGATGTGTTAATATGTTTGGTCTAAGCTGTTGCTACCGCAGTGGAGGTTGTTTTGGGAGCATAATATCCAGATAGCAGCAGGATTTTCTATAACATACGGCAGGGTAAAAAGTTTTTGATCTTCTTTCCTTAATTGAACTGTCTCTGACCTCCATGGAAACTGTAAGGAAATGTTGAACGATTTAAAAGAAATGTTTATCCTGATTTATTACATTCCTGTAGTTCTTTGTTGCAACTTCTTTAGTAAATGTGTTTTTATTCTGTTTGTTGGGACAAACTTGTCATCTGTGCACCCACTGTCCGCCCACCCCCCATCCTTAGCCCCCTGCCCCTAACCTTCTGCCCTCCAACAAATTTTGCACACACACACAAACTCTCTCCGGCCATATGGTACAGTTGGCGCCCAAAAGCAGCCGGACCCATTCCCAGGGCAGGAGGTGAGGGTCCCTACAGTCTGCACAGAGTGTACCAACGCATGTGTTTGCCTCCTCCAGGGCTCAAGCCTGCGCCAGCTTGCTGCATTGGTGATCTCTGACTTATTTATTTTTCCTGCACTCGTCCCGACGGACTCCATCCCGTCTGGGCTGCACGGTCAGCAGCAGAGGACTGTAAAGTCCTCAGAGTGGTGTTTGTGGACCGTTTCGCCCAGTGCAAAACCTCAATGTGAATGCTTGTTTCCTACATCCAAAGCCATGCAGAGGTGTTTGTCATGAGGACTTCATCCGTGGTACTCAGGTTGAAAACAGATCTTTGCAGCAGATTGAATTCTTATCCTTCTCCAGCATTAGAGAGACTACACAACAGGTAGTTTCAGCCAAACAATACGACTTGTCAAAGAAACTGTCCTACTGCGCAGGTTTCATTATGCATGGCAACCAATAAGCTGCTCTTAGCTTTCCGGTTGCTATGGGAACTCATGGTAATCAGTCGGCCAGGTAGGGATCATTCTTCTGTTTTCTTGTCTGTTCTCTGTGTGCATTTTTTGGAAAAAGCCTCAGAGTGTTTCAGTGCAACGAGAGCCGATGGGTGGCTCATTATTCCTATCATTTATTATCACTGCTGAGAGATGACTTTGGTTGCGTCTTCTTTATTATGTTGCATCAAACGGGAAGAACAGCCTTCAAACACCCTCTCAGAAGCAAATACTTCTTTAGATTTACTGGAGCACCATTTTACAATTAAATAGATACAATTGATCAATTTATTAAGGAGCTATGACTTGTTTATTTTTGATGTAGCTCATCAAGATGCTTTGCAGCATGAACCATAAAAGAAGAATCCACTGGATGGATGTGGTTCTTATCCTTTTTTGTTCAGTGTCGAACGTTAACTTGCCCCCCTGTTTATGTTTGCATGTGAAAGTCTGTGCAAAACAGAGAAAGGCAGAATGAAGCCAAGGGTGGAAGTTGTTTTTCTGCCCCCTGTGGCGAGTCTGGGGCTGCATGTGTGCACGCCTGGGGCAGCCTGGGGCCATCGGAGGGAGCCTGGGGAGCAAAGGAAAGGAGGGATGAAGCTCAAGTGGAATGGAGGGATAGAAAGGTCAGCAGGAGTCTTCCAGGGAAAGGTGTCCGCCTGGGCTGAAAGCCAACCAGAAAGGTGGGAAGGCGAGTTGGATGGATTGGGAAAGCCGAAGAGAAAGAGATTAAAATGACACATCACACCTTTTTTTTAAACGGCTCTCTTGAACAGTTAGAGGTTAAGAAAAAATTCAGCTTAATTATAACCTTTAAACAGTTTATGGCATGTTAACAACATTATTCGTTTACGTTGCTAATTGAGATGTTGCAGCACACAGCTGCAGGTTGTAGGCAGTTTTAACTCTTGTAGTAGCAGCACTGGGACGTAAAAACCTTTTTGCTGCAACCAGCTGAGCTCCTTTGATTCAAACATCAAAGCAACAGAGAGGAAGCATGGCATAGACTGCATTTCCATTCCAGGCACTTTGCAAACATTGTTACCCTGATATTCTGCTCCTTCTTCTGAAAACTTGGAAAGACGATGCGATCCTCAGAATATCTCTTTTTGAAGTTTCTGCCATGCAAAGGTTTTCATGCCCCTGGAATGTTTCTAGATTGTGTCACTTTACGACAGCAAAACAGTGTTTTTTTGTTGGGTTTTATCTGACAGGTTAGCACCAGGTAGTGACTCATTTAGATTGGGAAGAAAAATTATATTTGACAATTTTTTATTTTCATTTTGTAAGCAAAAATCAACATAAAGAAATCATCAAAGTGCATTTTGCATATCCATACTTTGCTATGATACTCTAAATAAAATTCAGTGTTTAGTTTAATGTTATAAATCGGATATTTTAGAACATCAGAGAACACTTTCCAACAGGACCAAAACATGCAGCCAGAGCTTCAATAGAAAGGCTTAGATCTGACCATAACCATGTGCCAGAGTGGTTGAGTCAACATCCAGACCTTTATCTCATTTAAGATAACTCATAAGGCTTAAGAGCTGACTTCTTTAATATGACTGATCTTAATTAATTTTGCTTTATCACTTATTAAAAAACACTCTTGACTTCTTCAAGTCCAACAAACAGGCTGGAGTTGGTGGTTTTAATGTGACAAAATGTGAAATAATAGTAATTTTTCCTGTGTGCCACATCCCAAACAAATATGTCAAGTTTTGACGGGATGGCAGCAGGAACTAAAGAAAGTGTTGATCAGCGTGTGTGAGGCTGTTTCCTCCATGTGTTGCCTCGCTGTCTGGCCTATTAGAAGCTCACTCAGCGTGTGCGTACTGTTTCAGGTAGATGCAGGCGGTCCTTTCTTTTTTTATTCCCGACCCCTGGCTCTCTCTTTTTCTCCCCTCTTTCATTCCCCCTATTTCTTCTCTATTTTTCCCCGAGTTCAGACTCTGTCCATCTGGAGCATCTCCCCCTCTTTTCTCCCCCGTCAGTCCCATCCAGGCCGAGACAACGGGGGTGAAGGCCAGCACCAGTAGGGCAGAAACAGTTGGAGACTTGGAGGGATGGAGGGAGAGATGTGGATGCTGTAATGAGTGACAACATGAAAGGTGACGGAGGGAGGGGGTGGAAGAGAGATGAAGACAGAAGAGTGGAGGGACTGCTGAGGACAGAGGGAGGGATGTGGAAGGAGAAGATGAAGCTTGAGCGGAGCAGTAGGGACCCTGTGGTCAGCTCCGTTTTCATTCGCCAAAGAAGAACAGAAACAGGAGGAGGAGAAACAGCAGACCTTTTCCCCCCCTCCGCCTCTTTCTCCGCTCCTGTTAAACCAGCCGTCCTCATCGTCAGCTCCTCCAGGAGGACCCTTCTCTAATTTAACTTTTCATTGAAATTTTCTCTGCTCCCCCTCCTCCCAGCCCCCCAGTTTCTCCCAGTTTGCCGTCCGGCCTTGTCTTGCCAGGTCCCCTCGTGGCCGACTGACAAAGGCGCCGTAAAAAGCCGTGTGATCCTCCATTTTAGCGCCAGCTACGCTAGTCAGAGGATTAGGACTCTTTAATGACGCTAATCTCTCTCCCCTCCAACCCACACTCACCCCCACCAATAAAAAGAGATTTTTTTTCTTTTTCTCTTCCTCAAATCAAATCTCTGTAGTTTCGGCTCTGCCGTCTTTCCCACCTCTGAAACGTCCAACTCATCTCTTTTTGTTTCCCATCTAAACCAACCTCAGGTTTAATTTCTTTAACTCTGTCTTTCTGAGTGCAGCTGAAATATTTGGGAAATAGCAGGGTCTGTGTTTTAGTCGGTCACCTCTCAGGAGTTTAAATACCTTCATCCTGTCATGTAGCCAGCAGGGGGTGTCTGGATCAGCCTTTTATAGGCGCCCTGTATTGTTACACCACCTTTACTCTGTGCAGATGCTTCATTTATGGGTTTAGTTTGTTGCCTGTCTTCTTAATTTATCTGTGGCTGCAGACAAAGCTACAAAGTAACACTTGAAGTCCACACATGACCCTTGGCATTAATGGCCTTACAGATATCTGTGGAGAGGCTTTTCTTTCCAATGTTGCCTCAGCTCCTTAAGGTTTGCAGATGTTTCAGTCTGATCTGCTCTTTAAAGGTTTTAATCCAGCATATTAAATAGATTAAAGTCTGGACTTTGACTGGGCCATTGCAGCATCTTGATTTTCCTTTTGCCTCAATGTGGATTTTTAGGAAATGGGCAATAACAGTAGCATTTAACTTTAAAAACCTGAAGGATCTGCTGCCACCGACTTTGTGCTTAAAGAGCACAGCACACCTTTCAGGAATCCAGTGAAGTCCATCCATTATCATCAGCCCACAGTCATAATATAATGCTTTATAATGATTTCTCCTTGATATCCGATCTTCTTTGACATATTCAGGGCTGTTACGTAGAAAGAGTACTAGCAGCATATTTTTAGGTTGGTAGTCTTATTAAGCTGGGTGTCTTTGTCAAATTTAGATTCGGTAGCTTCTTCTTTGATCATGAAATAAGGCAAACATTTAAAAAAATGTTTGTGCTTGGATTAGCTGCTTTTTCAGCGTAACAGATTTGGCATTTTTTTTCAAAAATGTAATGGAAACGCTTTGTTCATATCACACAAGTCGTGTAATCAACAACGACACATTACTGGAAAAGCAGTAACATTGGAGGTTGAAGGCGCAGCATGTTTTTTATTGAGATATCATGTGATGTAATGGAAACAGAGCAACTGCAAAATTATGTTTTTGTTTTCTTCGTCATTAGTAAAATACCAACAAAGTTTGGCTCACCTTTGTAATGGAACCCAGCTAGCGAGTGCAACCCACCACCATGCCTCATCACTCAGGAAAGCGGACCGTCACGCCTCATTGGTGTCTGTTGAAGCCAATGTATTGATTTACGTGCCTTGCTTTGAGTCTTTAATGGTGTTTGTTCTATTCCAGTCAGATTTTTAAGCTCATCGCCTCCTGCAGAGTTATATTTTCTCATGCCAATGGATGCATTTTGCCTCCATATTAAACAGATCTGTTTCCGTCCTTTCTGGAAGCTGTAATCCAGTGTAAACATAAAGAAGATTCCTAGACAACTGGTTCGTTTTCACTGAAACTTCTCTAGTGTTTAACCTGACATTTCTTTCTGCATCCTGTCACTCCAGCCTTATTTGTTCCTGACTTTGGTGATTTCCCTCTCAGATAAAGCAAAACCCATCCCTTTTTGATGCTGGTCTTCTTTACATTTTTTCCAGTGAATGTTAAAGAGGCTCACCGTGCTGCTTGGGAGCGCTCAAAGAGCAACAGAACAATATCAAGCATAATTCAGCCTTCTCTTTTGTTGCAGCGAATCCATTCTGAAGTGTCTATTAAAGGAGCTGTGGCCTTTCTGTTGCCTCTGTGCATGACTGCGCAGGAGGGGGGAGAAAAAAAGGAAAAAGAGCAGCGCATAATCTCGTATGTCTGACAGATAAAGGGAGCGAGTATCGCCATCTTTCCGCTCTGTTCTCCTCATCTCCTAATCGCTTTTCTGACGTTTCAATCTGCCAAGGCCCTAATGAAAATATGATGAGGCGGATCTGCGGTCCTCGGGGACGGAGGGGAGGGATGGAGCGAGGGATGGCTGCAGAGGGAGGATGAAGGGAGAGAAAATACACTCTGTCCTTATTTCCGGGCTCCGCTGGGGATACATAGTTCTTGGAGCTTTTTATTTAGATGTTGCTACTGCAGGAGTGCATTTCTCTCTCTCTACGTCTCTCTCCTCATTCTTTCTCTCTATCTCTGCCATCCTTGTTTTTTTGTATATTTATGAATGCTTGTGTGTGACCAGGATAGATGTGTTTATTTTTTGTTTATATCTTTTTTTTGTTTCCTCCTGTGAACTCCCTCAGGCTTCTCCCTTTTGCCATCCAAGAAAGATGAGACTTCTCCTTAATCATCCCACTTCGCCCTGTTTTACCCCCACTTTCTGTGTCTTAGCATAGCAGCTTTTTTTTTTCTACTTTTCAGTCCCTTAGCTGTGTGTAAAAATATACCTTCTTGTGCCACCCTCTCCCCTCAGATGGTGATGATGACCCTGCAGGCCTGTCCTGGGTGCCCTCCTCACCCTCTAGCAAGGACGTGGCGTCGCCTTCCCAGATGCCCGACGGCTGCTGCGACCTCGGCACGGCCACTGGAGGCGAGGAGGAGGGAGGCGCCGGCTTGCCGTACCCCTGCCAGTTCTGTGACAAATCCTTCAGGTATCTCCTCAACATTCTCCCACATCTGGATGGTTTAGCTGCACCCTCAGATCCTGCTCATGAATATCTGGGGGCTCATAAATAAACTACACCCTCCGTGTTATTTCCATAATAAAGTGGAACGCTAAGGCAACAGTAAAGGGAATGAGGTGAATACATTTCTCACCAACCTCTCCGGAGACTCAGTCAAGAGCCATTTTAAGAACAGCTGTCTTACACACACTCCAGAGTCATCATCATTATTATTCTCTGTATTAATCGTTCTACTGAGCTCTTCTTCCTCATACATCCTCCTGTCATCCTTTAACATTTATTCCTTTCTTTAAAACTGTGCTTTGAAAAAAGTGTTTACACCCTTTAACTTCCCTCCATTTTGCTTCTGCTACAACCATAACTTTGTTGGATTTTATTGGGATTTATTGTGAAAACGAACCACAAACATCAAAATAAATAGGGTTTCAAAATTCTTTACGACGAACGAAATGTTTGTTTGCAGCCCCCCTTGTTCTGATGTTCCTAAAGAAAATCCAGACGGAACATATATCTAATGGTTCTTTGGATGTTTGAGAGGGTGAAGAGTTTGACACTTCTGGAGTCTTATAAAGAAGAAAGAGCCAAGAGGCTGATGGTAACTCTGGAGGAGCTGCAGAGATCCACAGCTCCTTTGACTTCAGAATTATTAGATGTGCGTTCCAAAAACCTTTCCTTTTGGAAAAGCATAAAAGAATAAAGCAATTGTTGGAGAATGGGCCATAGAAGGTTCCATTGCAGATTTCCATAAACCATTCGGGGGACAGTAAAAAACATACAGAATGCCACATTCCCACAGTGCAACATGGTGGTGGCATCAGCATGGCATCATGCTGTGGGATACTTTTCTCCAGCAGGCACAGGCTGGTTGGTTCTGCCACAGATTAATTGGGTTCAGGTTTGGACTTTGATTAGGACATTTGTAGACATAGATATGCTGAAAATCAAAGAGTTGAAATGTATTTACGAAAAAACAAGTTGTTTGATTTTGTGCTGGAAGTTGGTCCTTAACCTAAGTCTAGAGTCAGTGCAATTTTTAAAGATTGCTCTTTATGTAACTCTTCCCATCCATTCTGACCAACCTCTCAACAGCATGATGCTCCTTTTAAAATACATCAACAGTTGTGTCTTTATTCAACTAAAGAGTTTTGAATGATCTAATCACAGGCTTACAAAGCTGTAAAATTACCATTTGGATGAGCTATTAATGTATTTAACAAAATGCATAACATTGTAATCCTATTTTATCTGAAACAAGAATGTTTTATTCTTTAATATCAGACAGTAGAAGCAGAAAAGCAAACATTAAAGCTCTGGTTTCAGCTGTAAAAGCTCCAGGTACATCATATCACCTGTTGTCATAGTTTCTGGTTAAGCATCACAATTTATTTATTAAAGTTTGTTTATATTTGGCATTATTAACTTCCTATTAGCTAACATCATACTTCTGCCTGCAGTCGCCTGAGCTACTTGAAGCGACACGAGCAGATCCACAGCGACAAGCTGCCGTTCAAGTGCACCTTCTGCAGCCGCCTGTTCAAACACAAGAGGAGTAGAGATCGCCACGTGAAACTCCATACAGGTACGTTCAGCCATCACGTCCCAGCTGTCCTGGGTTTTTTTCCATCTAGGCACCTTTTCTTCACTTAAAACTGAAAACTTGGCACTAGTGGCCTGTTCTGGTGCATTTTTAACTTTGAGACGAGAGATTAAATATGTGGAAGATCCAAAAATTCATAATTACCGAAAAATCCATTATATGTTTGGATTTTGTGTTCTTTCTTCTTTCTATAGATTCAGATTGCTTTCACGGAAATTACAAATTCCTTTCACTAAAATCTGAGCTTTGTTTTTAAAGCAGTTTGGTTTACTTCCTAGAGTTTGAAAGAAATGTAAAGTTACTTTTCCCAGAATTTATAAGATGCGCATCATTACTTAAAGGACACCTTCTGGAGCATACAGTTAACTTTTTCAAGCTTTACTGCTGTTGTTCTCTAGACGTACACTGTACTTTGTAGGGATACGTTTTCTAGAACCTAACGGCGGCTTTAAAAAATAAATAAAATGCAAATGAACCCAAAGAAGCTTTTTAGAAATTCAAAGGTTTCTGGGACTCACAAATTACAGAGCACAAGTTCTTCAACTTACAGGTAGCTTTTAATAACTCAGTGGTTACGTACACAAAAGCAGAACTCAAGCAATTTTAAGTTACTTGTTATAAAATGGAAAATCTAATATTTGAAATGTTCAGGTTACGTGATTTAACATAAATAGCAAATAAATTATTTAAACACAAATAACTTTTGCAAAACTTAAAGGTTGTTTTTGTAGGATTGGTTACTTTATAGAAAGTACAGAGTCAATTCTGGAACCTTACACACCATATATAGTTGCCATAATGTAAGTTAATGGTTCTAGCTTACTTTTCAACAATTTACTGGGTGCTTTTTGCAGAACTTGTTGGTTATTCCCACTAAACCAAGAAGATATACAGCATCTTTATCAAATATAAGTTATTATTATATTTATTGCTGTTATATTCTGGGAATCACACTTGGCTACTCTGGAAGTAACATATTATGGTTCCACATTGAAACTTGATCATCCAGTCTGATCTAGACCTGATTATAGTCTAAAACAGCTTGGATCATTTAACAGATTGATAATAAGGGCAAGAATCAGGTTTAAGTTCTGGATTCTTGTTTTTAAAATTCATGCACATGCTTACGCTAACTTGCAGGAGGCGTCAGAGTTAAACACCTTTTATTTACCTTTTTATCAAAGGACTTATTCGACCAGGATTTTCATCTTTAATTGTATCGCCTGCAGGAGATAAGAAGTATAGCTGCCAGGAATGTGAAGCTGCATTTTCTCGCTCTGATCATCTTAAGATCCACCTGAAAACACACAGGTAAAAACAAATAAGCTAAAAAAAAAAATTGTTTTTGTTCTTCAGTCTGATTTGTTGATAATTGGTCCCTACAGCTCCAGCAAACCATTTAAATGCTCAGTTTGCAAACGTGGCTTCTCCTCCACCTCATCGCTGCAGAGCCACATGCAGGTAAACTAGTGTTAATGACTTGCTGCTATGAGATTTACTACAAAGCTGATAGGTTAGTTTCTATTTTATTTTGATTAATCTCGGGCACTATGTAACCTCACAGGCTCACCGTAAGAACAGAGAGCATCTCGCACTAAGAAGTGAGAAGGATGGAGGGAAGAAGGGAACGGGAGGAGACGTTGAACTGGAGCAGGATCTGTACATGTGTGATTACTGTGAGGAAACGTTCAGCCAGACGGATGAGCTGGAAAAACACGTCCTGACTCGACACCCACAGCTGTCTGACCGAGCAGACCTGCAGTGCATCCACTGTCCAGAGATCTTTCTGGATGAGGCGTCGCTGCTCACTCATATTGAAACACAGCACGCCAACCGGAAACACAAGTAACAGCAGAGCGTTGTTTGAGTTTTTTTGACCTCTGAAAGAACTGTTATTTACTGGGCTTGCTTTTTCTATCACAGATGTCCTGTCTGCTCTGAGCAGTTCCCGTCTGTGGAGGACGTATACTGCCACCTGGACAGTCACCGCCAGCCCGACTCCTCTAACCACAGCGCCGCCAGTCCAGATCCTCCCCTCGGGAGCGTAGCCTCCATGAGCTCGGCCACACCAGACTCCAGCGCCAGTCTGGAGAGAGGCTCCACCCCCGACTCCACCCTTAAACACAGTCAGAGTGGAGAACGCAGCCTTAGGAGAGGCGTCGATTCTGGGGAAGACGGGGGCATTAGCCTGGTCCACCAAGGTACAGATAAGCTAATATAAGAGACATTAAAAGGATGTTTACTTACACTGCAAAACATTTAATCTAAGTAAGTCAATCTTCCTTAAAATAAGTGCATTTTTTTATCAAACTGAGCAGGTATGTGACACTTTGCCAATGGAATATGACAGTTTACATTAAAAATAAGAGAAACCGCAACTTTTAAACAGAGCGTGTGCAAGAACAAATGGGCTTGTGCATGCTCTCGCACACGTTAATAGACTTTCCCTCTCAAGAGCTGGTACAGGGTTTTGCATGTACATATATATATTTTTTAAAGTGGAGAGGGCAGGTCTTTTCAAAAATTTGCGAAAATCCTCCACTATACCTTTAATAATAACATGTCCAATACTTTTTTCTGCAGGCTCAGGAGGAAGTTGGACTAAAGTGACATATTCCTGCCCTTACTGCTCAAAGAGAGACTTCCACAGCCTGGCCGTGTTGGAGATCCATCTTAAGACCATCCATGCAGACAAACCGCAGCAGAGCCACACCTGCCAGCTCTGCTTGGAAACTCTTCCGACGCTCTACAACCTCAACGAGCATGTGCGAAAGGCCCACCGTGCCAGTGGAGGGAGCGTGGGCTCAACAGCGGCAGCAGCAGCTTTCCCTCTGCTTCAGTTCACAAATGTCACTGCGTTTCACTGCAATTACTGTCCGGACATGTTCGGAGACATCAACTCCCTGCAGGAGCACATCCGAGTGTCCCACTGCCTGCCGGGTGGCATCGTGGCGGGATCCACCACTCTAGGTATGTTAACAATAAAGGAATTTGGCCTGATTCAAACAATGATGTTGGTAGTGTTGGATTTAACAGTTCAACTAATGACAGATCCAAAGCTGCCTCCTGAAATAAGGAAATAAACAATCCTGTTCATAAAAGATGAATATCCATAAAGCAACCTAATAAAATAAGCCAAAAAAAAGACAGTAAACTTATTTATATTCTTGTGAAATAAATTAGATTTATTAGATTTATCAGTACAAAAACATTGTCGGTTTGCAATTGTTTTAATCGTGAAAGAAAAGATTTTCTTTGTTTGTGGTCATGTAAAGAAAACTTAGGAATTGAATTACTTAAAACATAAGTACCCATTAAACAAACAGGTTAGGAGTGATTGATGTCTGGAAATTAAAATCATCACTGAAAACCATGGTTTAAATATCATTTGCTGATGTTATTCCAGAGGGGAACCATGCCTTCTTCTGCAACCAGTGCTCCATGGGATTCCTCACAGAGTCCTCCTTGACGGAGCACATTCAGCAAACGCACTGCGCCTCAGCTACGGGCGGCGGGGCGGCGTCTGGAGGAGCTGTGGCCAAACTGGAATCCCCCGTTCTCCAGGCTGCGTCTCAGTCTTTCATGGAGGTGAGAATCAAAACCAGTCGATTTAAAAATAAAGGGATATTTCAGTACTTTAACTCTCTAATTTTATATACTGCAATATTCTGGAATTTATAATAAATTACAGTTAAAAATGTTTTGTTCAGTTTGAATGGCAAAAAGACCTGTAGGCTGTCTTACGGTCTTTCATTTTTGCTTGGGACGTTTTTTTTTTTTTTTAGGTGCTATGGTGAAATCAGCTCACCTTAAGTAAATTCAGGTAAGTAAGAGTAGGCTTAGGCAGTGTATAATAAAGCAACTTAAGTTTAGGTTCATTTTGGTAAAATTAGCTTAGCTGAAGGGAAGCAAGATGGGCTATAGTAAGCTAAAACAACCAAGAGTCAATTTAATTAGAAGTAGAAGATGAATAAATACGGTAATATAAGTGTGCTTAATTAAAATAACTTGAGGTGAATTAAAGGTACAGTAATCAAATTTTATCTAAGCTATAAATTAATAAGAGATTTTCAGCGTAGATAAAGTAAGGCAAACTCTAAACTTTATTTATCTAAATTACATTGAGATATTAATATAAATCAAAACGATATGTAAAGGGTAAGGAAAAGTTAACACTGTGCTCTTTTTATAACCGTGTTTTTTATTCATCTGCTCCTTCACCTGACATAAGCAGATTTTTAGGATCTTATAGTAGACAGCCTCAGCTTTTAGTGTCTTTTTTTATTATGATCTTTTTGCTCTTAAGGTTTTAGGATTGTCAAGGTGGTTTCAGACAATATTTTTCTGTTAAGTCTGTCATTTTTTCATAGAAACAATCAAATAAATGTTAACAAGTTGTGCTTTCTCCAGTTACGGGCCCAGGATGATTCATTGATCAATTAGATGGCTGAATGAATAATAAAAGGACGTCAGCAAGCCTGAATATCTAAAGGTCAAGAGCACTTTAAATATACTGACAGTTAAGAAGGAAAAATAAATTAGAAATAACTCAAGAATTTAGCTCAGCTCTGAAAAGAAGCTGTCAAAGCTGTAAGTCTGATTGTAATTTAAAGTGTACGCTTGTTTATCTTCCCCCTGCTCTGCATATCTTTTTCAATTTCTCTCTCCCTCCACAGGGACCTAACATTTACCTTCGGGGACTGACAGTGAATGTTGATGAATAACGGTCTTTATAAAGATTTATTTTCCATTTTTCAGGTTTATTCCTGCCCTTACTGCACCAATTCTCCCATCTTTGGCTCACTCCTCAAGCTCACGAAGCACATCAAGGAGAACCACAAAAACATCCCTCTGGCGAACAACAAACGGCAGGCGAAGGTTGCTGACCTCAGCCCAGCCTCCTCCGACGTGGAAATCTCATCTCCCAAACGCCACAGACTGGGAGGCGATTCCACTCCCTCCATGGGAAGCAACGGGGATTATCCGTGCAATCAGTGCGACCTCCGATTCGCTAGCTTCGAAGGTTTCCAGGCTCATCTGAAGTCTCACCTGGAGATGCTGCTGAGACGCCAGTCCTGCCCGCAGTGCAACAAGGAAGACTTTGAGACACAGGAGGCACTGCTCCAGCACCTCACAGTGCATTACACCACCACGTCTACGCAGTACGTGTGCGAGAGCTGCGACAAGCAGTTCTCCTCCGTGGACGACCTCCAGAAACACTTGCTGGACATGCACACGTTCGTCCTGTACCACTGCACCCTCTGTCAGGAAGTCTTCGACTCCAAGGTCTCCATACAGGTAATTAGAAACTGCTTGATTCTTTTTACGTACTTTATTCTGTGCCCCAATGAGCCACTCATCCATAAAAGACTCACAGTTTCATTTCAAAATTGGTTAAAAAAGTGGCAGTTTGAGTGAAGAAAAGTTTGGAATCTGAAAATTAAAAATGTGTAGGAACTATGGTTTTATAACTCTACTTCTGCCTTCCGTCCTCCAGGTGCATTTGGCTGTGAAACACAGCAACGAGAAGAAGCTGTTTCGCTGCACCGCCTGTACATGGGACTTCAGGAAGGAGGCCGATCTTCAGCTCCATGTCAAGCATAACCACCTGGGCCAGAGGTCAGGCCTTCCAGGAGGACTAGCAGGTACGTTTTAGCTTCTTAAAGGATGATGGGAAAATGTTTTTTTTTTTCTTATATTGCTTAATGCTTCACTCTTTTATTTGACCTTATATTTATGTTAGTTTATTTGATTGTGTGTTCATATTCACTCCTCTGAAAATAAAGTTTTAAAATGAGATTTCTTCCATCTCAGAGAGCCTCTGTTTACAGACTGATACATGGGAGAAGAAGGTTAACTGTCATTACCATTAGCCTGTAAAGGAGGCAGACATAGAGTGAATCAGCGAGTAGTAGAGAAATGGAGGATAGTGTGAGCTGGTAAATTTCTGGCCGCGGAAGCTTGATCTTGGTTTTTCCCAGAAGAAGTCCTGCTAAAAGCTTATTTTATTTGCAAACGTTAATAAAAAAAGAAGCTAATTCAGTTTTTGGGCATCAATCAGCTGTTTGGTTTTTACAGTGGCATTAAAAAAATGTATATCTTATAACTTTTCTCTAGCAATTTAAGAACAACTTGTTATGCTTCAAAATGACACAGTTGGAGCACAATTGAGACCTAAAAACGCCATTTTCTAAATAATAGTTTGTGAGTAGTAGAGTCTGTAATATTAAATTGTTCAGCTGCAACCTACAGTTGTTCTAATATAATGATATTTAGATATATTGATATTTGAAGATGGAAAAATTACATTTAAGGACCCACCTCAGTAAAGTACTGGAACTAAGCAGAATGTTGATGAAGATTCTCAGTCATGCAGGGCATATAACTCCAAAGACTTGAAAACAAAACATGGCCTCTAAGCTTCAAAAGCCCATGTAGCTTCCTGACAGCAAAGAAGGGCTCCATAACATGGACAGAAGGATGGTTTCTGAAAGCTTTCTTCTCTTTTCCCTTTAGAACAAGTGGCTTTTCTCACCTTTCTCAGTTTAGAATAGATAGACAAAGCTAATGGAAGAAAGTTATATAATCATTTTGAACATTCATTTTTTTTTTTGCAGGACTGAAACCACGAAAGTGCATCTTCTGCGGGGAGACGTTCGGGACTGAGGTGGAGCTCCAGTGCCACATCACCACCCACAGCAAGAAGTTCACCTGTCGCTTCTGCGGCAAAGCTTTCCACGCCATCTCGCTGCTGGAGCGACACCTGCGGGAGAAGCACTGCATCTTCGATGGCAGCAATGTCACCGGGAACGGAGGAGGAACGGGGAGCAGCGGGAGTCAGAACGGAACGCCCAATGGCCTGGCTCAGAGCGTCAAGCGGGGAGGAGCAGGAAGTGGGGTTGCAGGAGGAGCAGAAAGAGCAACAGTGGCAGCTGCTGAACAAGCCGACCTGCAGAACATCCTGCTGAAGAGCGCCGTCACTGGAGGAGGGGGGTCGTCGCAGGCAGGCGACACAGCCAACAGTCACGAGGCCAGCGGTGGAGAGGAGGAGCTGGACAATTCGGAGCCCATGTACGCTTGCGACATCTGCGGAGCGGCCTACACAATGGAGTCGCTGCTGCAGAACCACCGCCTGCGCGACCACAACATCCGGCCGGGCGAAGATGATGCAGGTGAGAACTATTGTCTCCTCTCCTGTGTGTCTCAGGAAAGTTATGGATCATATTTCTGATCATTCCTACTTTTTCTGTTTTCCAGGTTCCAGGAAGAAGAAGGCAGATTTCATCAAAGGGAACCACAAGTGCAACGTGTGCTCCAGGACGTTCTTCTCTGAGAGTGGGCTGCGTGAGCACGCTCAGACGCATCGCGGACCTGCCAAGCACTACATGTGCCCCATATGTGGAGAACGTTTCCCATCTCTATTGACTCTCACAGAGCACAAGGTACGCATCTGATCTGCAGCATGGAAATCTGCATCTCTGAAAGTGTGTTTAGGTCCTGTAAATGTGTTTTTTTTTCTCCACCGTACCAGATGTATTGATTGTTAAAGATGCTTTAAATGCCTTAAAATAAGTAAATTCTTGATCTTTAATTTGATCCAATTAAACCACTTTATTAATATATTATTGCAGGAGCAAAAACTGAACAATGTAAGAAAGTAAATTCTGTTGGTTAGAATACCAGAAATGATTGCTTCTAAACCAAATCTCTGGAGCTGCTTTTTCTACAACAGTGTGCCTCTCAGTCTGCATCACCTCAGAATCAGGAGCCAAGTTAGTCTGGCACTTTGAAACGGTCACACCATTGAAGAGTCACATTTCAAGCTCACAGAGTTGACATGGCAACTATAAGACTCTACTGTCTTTTGTTTTTAAGTGACTCGCTTTCTTTCCTACCATCACAAACACACGTAGACATGTAAAGATGAACTGGATGTGTTTGCTATGTCGAGATGAGGCCTGTTTTTTTATTTTCCTCTAGTTGCTGTGGGATACTTTTTCCAACTGTTCCATAAAACTGTAATCTGGGGACCTAAGTCCAAAAGTTGTCTGAAGACTTTGTCTGTTAGCAGAATAATGATAGTAAAGGTGATTATCAGAGTGCCCAGACGTAAACCTTGATGGAACACCTGTTGGTTCTGAAATGAGAAGGAAACACTAATTGTTACCATACTAGATAAACTAGGTGGAGGTTAAGAAACCAATAAAAAAACAATAAAAACGACTCATTATAATAACTCATTCATAACTTGAGGCTTTTTTTTCTCTCCGCTAATTTAAAGCTTCAATTTTCAGGATGAGATTTTGTTCCTGCAATGAAACATGACTCTCACAGCACATGTATGTAATGAACTGGGTTATGTGGGTTGAAGGATGTATATTATTACCGTTTGTATAATAGTATTGGCTGTGAGAAACCTCACAGACCTTACAGAGACATCAGAGTGCACGGATCTCTCTGATGGGGGTTTTGTTGAATTTAGCTTCTGTACCTTTTTGTTGGAGACTTAAAATGAAAAGTGCTTTATGTCTTGTTTCAAAAAGCTGAAGGAAATAGTTGGTTTCTGTTTTTTTTTTAACAAACAGCCTCAGTTTGACCAGCTGTAGATCGGAAGAAGAAGCTTCCCTTCAAATGTGTCTGTCGTGGTACACAATATGCTGTTGACTCCCGGATAAATCCTTTTCTCAGGTGACCCACAGTAAAAGCCTGGACACGGGGACCTGTCGGATCTGTAAGATGCCACTCCAGAGTGAGGAGGAGTTCATAGAGCACTGCCAGATGCATCCCGACCTCCGCAACTCGCTCACTGGCTTCCGCTGCGTCGTCTGCATGCAGACCGTGACCTCAACGCTGGAGTTGAAGATCCACGGTACCTTTCACATGCAGAAGCTCTCCTCCGGCTCGGTGCTGGGAGGCGCCGGAGGCGGCAACAGTGGAGCGGGCACAGGGAACGGTTCAGCCTCTTCTTCCCCGAACGGACAGCTGCAGACGCACAAGCTCTACAAATGTGCCTTCTGCTTGAAGGAGTTCAAAAACAAAGGGGATCTGGTGAAGCTGGACGTCAACGGGCTGCCATACGGCCTCTGCGCTAGCTGCATGAGCCGGTAGGAAGGGTGTTTAGAAGCCCAGAAGATGAGCATGTTATATTTAATTCTAAGAATGTATAAAATGAAGATTTCTTTTTCATCCAATCAGGGGAACAAATGGCCAGAGTCCCAATGTGGTTGGAGGAGCAGTGACGCCTGGAGATACTCAGGCAGATAAGGCTCTGACAGGGCTGAGGTGTCCCGAATGTGGTGTGAAGTTTGAAAGCGTTGAAGACTTGGAGAGCCACGTCCAAACAGATCACCCTGAGGTCAGCCCTGAAACCAGCGCTGCAGGAAAGAAGGCTGAGGCTTCACCTGCACCCAAGGTGAGACAGTAACTAGTGAACAAAACGCGTCCAACAAATGTCTAAAAAAAAAATCAGTGGTTTGTTTTTAGCGGGAGAAGTGTTATATTTGAAGAAAAGTTGAATTTAAATGTTACAGATTCCAGAGTTGTCCAGTGCCAGTGAGATATTGATGCTCCTAAGCTCTCCACAGAATCTCGCTCTCAACCATCCCTTCAGCGTAGTGTTTGATACCTGAGCAGGTGTCAGCAGATGGAGATGTTTTCAGGAGGCCGTTTGTGTTTGTGTCAGGTGTTGCTGCGTGTATTCGGGGTGTACATACGTCTGTGTGAGCCGGGCCCCAGCGGGTCCTGCGGCTGGGCCGTGCGGCAGCATTGAGGGGGCTGTTCGCTCTGCTTGATATTGACAGTCAGGCTCCCCGGGACCTGCCGTTGTGTTTCTGACTGAGTGTGTGTGAAGGTGTGTGTGAGTGTGTCAGTTCCCAGGGACTCCCTGTCTTACCTACACCTTTGTTTCTGCTTAGTCTAACAGCACAAAGCAGACAAAGTAGGGTTTCTGCGTGTGTGTGTGTGTGTGTGTGTGTAGCAGACTGAAGCAGCAGAGGGAAAGTGGAAGTGGGGCCTTTGTGTATTTTGTATGTGTTTGTGCATGAGTGATCGCTGTGTGCAGTGAATGGATAAGCAGAGCTGCTCCTCGGCTCTCGCTCTCTGTGACTCATCCTGGATTTTCTGCATCTTTCTTTCTCTCTCTTGTTCTTACCTCGTTCTGAAACGTTTCTTTTGTCTTTTATTGATTTATTTTCATTATTTGTCTCCTTTTCTTGTTTTCACTGCAACCAGCGGCCCAATCTCGGCTTTTACCTCACAATTTCAACTATCGAGGCAAAAATAAGGTGCAAAATGCACAGCAGTAATATTGTTTTTATGTCTTTGTCTTTCTATCCTAGAAAAAGACCTACCAGTGTATTAAATGCCAAATGACGTTTGAGACGGAAAGAGAGATCCAGATTCATGTGGCTAATCATATGATCGGTGAGTACGGCGTTTAGATGATCTGGTCTGATTTTCATTTCTATGTTGGTTCCATGGACCTCAACGCAAATATGTGCATCTAAATGCACTATTTATGCAACACAAATGTACAGATGCACAATGATTAGGACAAATTAGGATTTTTTTATTTTTGATTTTGGAGGTTGTGCAAAGAAGCTTATTTTGATTTTTAGAACTTCTAGCTGTTGAAAATGTTGATGTTTTTATATCCAATGCAAATGTGAGTTCAAAAATGTGCTTTTTTATTCATTTTAGCCTCAAGCAGCACACATATTTACTTAGACATTAGAGGACTTGTAATTGATTCTTCTGAAAAATGTTATGACGTTTTACTCACATCGTTACTAAGCAGCACTGCTAAAACCCATCTTTATACTTTGAATGTTCTTTTATGGGCGTCTTGTGGGACTCTTATTATTTTTTTCTCTGCTCGCCACTAATTTGCTGCCTTAGCATCCCTGTCGTCATGGAGATTAACGAGGTGGACCCTCGAGTTGTTCTGGAGGAAAAAATACTCTGCCTGCCCCCACCCACCCACACATACACACCTGACAGGTAGAGGTGCTGGTGCATTCCGAAGGGGTTAGTGTGTGTGTCTGTCGGCTCTGATGCAGCTGCAGAACCTCTTACCTTATGTAGCCAGCAGACACCAGAAGGCCTGTAAGGTGTGGGAGGGACTCTAGGAATTGCTTCAGATAGTGATAAACAGTTTGTTGTGGAACCAGTTTACTTTGGAGCTTATTAAAAATAGAGAAGATGACCAAAACTGGAACTTAATGAAGGGGCTCTAAAGATGAAATCATATTTGTGCTGGAAGCTGAGTAGAGTATGGAAATGTAAGCAGAAGCAGAGCTGACTTGATGTTATTAGAGAACCTCTGGATTTGGTCTTCTGGTTTAATAGCGCTCAGTGGGTCATTCCTCCATCATGGAGCGACACATGATAGGACTCTGGATTGTCTTTAGCACAGTAAAGGGACAGAGTTGTGATGTAAGCCCTCACATTGAAGGTGAAGGGAGTTGTTTAACAATGGCAAACTTGAATTAGATGTTTGAGGCTAATGGTTAACAAACAGAGGGGTGATATGTTCCCTTTTAGGCCGATGGATGCTTTCCGATGGAAAGATCAACTGAAGAAGGCAAGATAATCCTTAAAGGTCATCAGTTATGTTTCTGGCTGCCTATGATGGGAAAAAGAGATCTGGATTCAGTTTGAATGAAGATATTGTGCGCTGTGATAATACAGTACGCAATCTACTTGAAAGTAATTTTTAGGGGTTCATTTAATATAGAAAGCAGAAACATTTCAGGTGAATTAATATTTTTATCCTCTCATCTGTTGCTTATCTCCCTCACCTTAAGCTCCCCTGCTAGTCAGAACTTTACAGGGTTGGTTTGGCAGAAACTTTAATTTAGTTGGGATTCTGTTTTGACAACAACCACATGACCCAGACTGACGGTAGGAAACCTTTTGAAAGAGGCTCAGTTTCTCTCTGCAACCATTTAACTTAACGTTTTCTCTAATATATTCATGGCATTTCAATGGAAACCCATCCTGAAATCATGGTTCACCCTCATGGTCCGCCTCCATCAAACCTTCCCTCCTTCTACAGCTCTACTGTACATGTTCATATTAGTGGCAGTTTTGGGTTAATTAATGTGATAATTGTGTGAAAACTGAGTGATAGTTAATTATCATCATAGCAGAATGTTTTAAGAACTTACTATTTTTACACTCCAGTCCCCCCTCCCCCTCATCCTCCATACCCTGACAGTGAAGGAAGAACATCTTCCTTGTCCATTTCAATGTAGATGCATGAATTGCTCATTAATCTTTTTGTAGCATTAATTTGCACAAATATTTTCTTTTTCCCCAAACTATGATCAGGTACTCTGTGCTGCTCAGCTTTAAAATAGAAATACCGAAATAAACAGACACTGAGAGGAGAAAAAAACAAACAAACAGTTTTCCTGGACATCGGTAACAGAAAGGCCTGCTGTTGAGCCTCAAATAGGAAGCTGTTGATTTTAAAGTTACTGTTCTCTCAGCTTTTTATCAGTCTAAACTTTTAGTTAATATCAAGAGCAGAAATGAATCCACAAGTTAATTATTAGTTCAACAAATCTCCCTTACTTTAGACGAAAGACAAATAATGGTCAATTTCTGGTGTAAATTGATGTAAAAATAATCTAGTTAGCTGCTCAGTGTAGCATCTCCAGTTTTAATCCTCGAAAACACAATCCTGAGATAACCGGAATGTCCTTTAGCTTTTGGTCTGATCAGGAAAATCGGACAAAAAAGCTTTACTGCAGTATTTGTGGATGTTTTTCTGTTAACAGTAATTCACTTTAATAGTCACAGCTCCTTATATATAGCTAAATAATACATTTCTTATCAAATATATGATTTCCACTGAGTCCAAAGTAAATAGTTGATGATATTTAAATCAAAAGGGGTGAAGGTTGTGTGTTTTTTCATGTATGGAATGAACCCCTGCTTAAAGCTGAGCAACAGAAATGGAACAGTAGAAATATTTCTGACCTGTTTGTCTGATCAGGAATTGTTTGGTTAACATCTCTGAGTAAATATAACATGCGGTCTTCCAGTTCAACTTTATCACTTATATCACAGCATTCACAGTTAATCACTCAGATGACATGTTTCCACTGCTACATATTAGCATGTTAACAGAAGAAGCTTTCATCATACCAGCTGCACTTCATGGTCCTGATGATTAAAACATCACTAACATCCAAACAATTAGAGTCAAAATAGAAGGGATGGATATTATAGAATATTTTATACTGTAATCCAGAGCTTTTTTAGGGCTTTGATTTGACATAAACGTTTTATTCCATGTTACACATCACATTAAGTGAGACAACAAAGAAAACATCATCCATCACAGATTAGCAAAAAATGACATGAAGATATTTTTAGAGGGGAAAAAAAACTACATTTGGATGTGATGAATGCAGCTGTGTCCAAAACATCTGTGCTACTGATAAAAAGCGTCCACGTGCCAATATGATCCTGGATCAAAGTGATTTAATTTATTTCTACTATGAATGTCTATCTCTACATCATATGAATGAAATAAAAAACAAATCCAACATTGTTTCTACTAGATGTTTCCACATAACTGAACCTTTTGACACCTTCTCTTAAACAACAGTTTAGGGTTTTAACAGAAAAGCTGAGATGCTACCCCACCAGTGACTGATAAAAGCAAACTTCTATTGTGTTAACAATACATTTCTTGTAGAAAAAGACGTTTTAATTGCATAATGCAGAATGTCAGACAAACATGGAACTATTGTGCAACATAGATCCCACCAGGCTTTGAGAAGCTCAGTGTTTCAGAATGTGATTGTTGTTCTGCCATCTGAGGTAGTTGGTCTGTCTGGAGGTGAAATGCATTGTTTGCATGGATGCATTTTAAATACAAACTCCTCCCAAAGATTGTATTCAAGCAGCCCTTTTGTAAATGTGGTATTACACACATATGTTGAGATGATGATTTGATTCAGTATGCTGTGCAGCTCTTTTTTTTCATTAAATGAGTTTTTGCTGTTGCTGCAGAGCAGTTAAAGAACCATATTGACCTGATTTTTGTGGGGTAGGAGAAACTGAAAGGTTTTGTTTAAGAGAGTGTTAGTTTGTGCTTTTGGTTTGCGTCGATCTTGCACTTCCTGGACTTAATGGAAGAGGAGAAGATGAGGTGGTGCTGCAGACACTGATAGATGGAGTCACTGCAAATGAACGAGACCTGCAGGTTTATTTTCTTTTGCATATTGCAGGTGCTGAAACAGATCAGCTAATTTTCCAGAGCAGCAGCTGTAACGCTTTCCTCAGCTGCTCCTCTAAATTTGATAGATTTTCTTTTGAGGTAACAACACGCCACACTGATTTGTTTTGTCCTCGTATGTCTCACCCCTCCCTGTCACTGTATGAACATGTATATTTGTTCCTGTGTGTCTCTCTGGACTGCACCGCCGTGATTTCTGGCAGCCTTTATTGTTTTCTGCTGTGCAGCTGCAGATCATGAAGCGGTTCCCTCCCTGTGTGATGGTGTGAGGCGGTGAGACGAATCACCATACGTGTGTTACCACTCGGTTCTGTCATGCGGTTTGTCAATAAGCAGCTTCTGTTTCTTAGACGACAACCAGGGAGCAAAAACAGGGTGTCTGTTTTTAAAGCATCATTGGAACCGGAGCTATTTAAACTGATGTATTTAACACATGCATTTCCCTAAATAAAGCTGTCAGCAGCAGGATTCAAATGTTCCATGCAGCTGCTAATGTTTTGTTAATCATTTCGGTTAAGATTTCGCTGCATGAAACCCCTCCTTAAACATGTCTACAAGAACGGAGCAAAGTTCTTCTAAAACTTTAACTTCATCCATGAACTCTTAATCCTAACTTCAAAGGTGTTTTTTTTGTTATTTTAATGTTTCATTTTTTCATATGAGTCAACCTTATATTTTAGTCTGTAGATGGGAACTTCAGCGAGTTTCTAAACTAAGATCTGAGTTTTTTCTATGTGAAATAAAACAATTTTTAGGCCAAAACAATAAACTAAAGCTATAAAATTCCTAAATGGTCTTTATAGCTTATCGTGTAATTTCTGTTAATAGATAAGCTTTAAAAATCAAACATCAACATAGCCATTTTTCTGGGTCTCTGGTTTGTGTACCTATCATTATTACTTTAATAATTTCAAGCAAGAATGCAAGAGTTGTGTTTACTTTGACTTTATCTATGAATAACTACAAGAAAAAAGCACTGAAGACTCAGAAAACACTAAAGTGCTGCTTGCTGTGGTGATTCCTGCAGTTTCCAGGAAGCTGTTGGAGCCCTGGTGGAAAAAAAACCTGTAGATTTCAGATTTAAGTCTGAAATTGACTAAAGTCTGTAACAGCTACCTCGATCTGTGAGTGATAAATACGTCTGCTGACCACACATGTAGATTAGTGTCAGTCTGCAGTGTTTGATGTAAGAAATACACGAGGTTGAAGACAAGTCTTATGGTAGAGGAGCTCGATTTAGCCTTTAGTTTCACTACTAGTTGCTCCTCCTTTGTCGGACTACACAAACAGCATTGTTTCTCCTCACTCTGCATTCATTGTTGGCATCCTACTTCTTTTTCTTTTTCTTGACTTCTTAGCTATGTGGCAGAGCTAGTGCCACCCATTGGTTTGCCACGAATATTACTTCTATTACAGCTTTGTTGGCCTCAGCTTAAAGGTATAGGGGGGGGATTTTCTCAAATTTTTTAAAAGACCCGCCCTCTCTTCTTTTAAAAAAAATGTATATGCACAACCCTGTAGCCGCTCCTGAGAGGGAACGCCTATTAAATGTGAGCGAGAGCATGAACGAGCCGATTTGTCCTTGTGCATGCTCTGTTTTAGTCATTCAATTTTTCCACTATGTCAGAAAGTAACACAATACCAGAATGATTAACGATTAGGAGGACCACTTATTTTGATGATCCATCCGGAAAAAGAACATCCTCCACGATACCTGTAAGCTTTCTCTACGCAGATGTTTTATGTGGATGTAGCCTGGGAAAGTTACCAAACCACTGCACATACAGTTAGATTAAAACAAGTCCAAAACCATACCTGTTAAAAGACTAACTGCAGTAGAAATGTTTCTTCTGCAAGTTAAATTTAAGCTGATGAGGTCCAGACAGACTGGGTTTACGGATGATACCAAAAGGCCCATTAATATCAGTTGAGTGTTTTCTACATTTTTTGAAATAAAAAAAAAAAAACAGTTTTAAATCTTAGAGCGCAATTACTTTTTTTGAATAGGTTTTCCTACTTTTTAAGATAAATAGTTGAGCCCTAAGTTCAGCCGTCGACAGCTGTACCCGCCCAATAGCAACTGCTTGTGGTCAACGTGAATTTTACCCCTGCAAGTAAGGTTTTTGGTGTCTGCATTGGATGTAGGTGCCAGCGGGGAGAACAGAAATGTGCTTTTTGTCAATAATTCCCAGCGATACCAAGGATCCAAACCTCCCCAACTCATCAGTTGTTTGCTTCATCTCTAATTCTGAGTAGAAAAGGAAAACGGGGCCTTGAAGAAAAAGGCTAAAGCCAAATAATAGCTGTGTGACTTTTCTTTTGTTGCCTTAAGCTTAAAGATTACAAATGTGTTTCCGTCCTGACTGGTGAGCTGCCTTGTCTATAACATTTCTTCCTCCTTCCCCCTCATCGCGTTCACAAGCCTATTTGACTAATCCTGCTCATTCTCTCCTCCGTTCTCCCCATCCCCACCTTGGATGGCCATAGACGAGCCCACCTGTCAGCAAGGTTTGTCTGCTTTCTGTGTATTAGCTCACACCGTGAGCGAGGCAGTGCTGCTGCTCCTCTGCCTGCTCATCACCATGAACATTTTCCCCTTCTGTTAATAAATTGAGCAAAGCACAAACTCTCCTTTTTTTCTTTACATTTTCCTTTCAAGCAGCCAAAGTTTATTGTCAGAATGAAAAATCTTGAACATTTTTACGTGCAGGAACTTCTGTCTGCCTGGAATGAAAATGCAAATGACTGAGGAGCAACTTGACTTTTGTTCAGATCACTATAAAAAAGCAGCAACTTTGGAGGTGATCAGTAAATGTTAGTCAGCTTTTCCTAAAATCCTGATTGCATGGTGTGCAGTCTGCAGATTCCTGCATAAAACAATTGTTTTAAAGAAAAGTGACACAGCCTGCACACGTACTCCCCTCACCCCCCCATTAACCCAATCCCTGTTGCTGGCTGCATGCTCCATTGTCCTTCATACACTCTCACACACACATGCACACAGCTGCCTTGGAGGTATCGAGTGGCCACTCACCTGTATCTAAGTGTTCCCTGTGGACTGTGGTGGCTAATGATGTGTCCTCAGCATGAGCTTTACTTACCTATTTACATCAGCGCACTCTAATAACTGGAACTCACATTCCTCATGTTTCTGCTCCGCCCTGACGTCAGGTTTAAGAGAATTTGCAACTGATGGTTGATTATCCCCCTTTTAAACAAAAGGTGTCTGCAGTCTGTCTATCCAAAGTACCAAACACAAGGCTAGATCAACCCCCTGTGAATCTCAAGCTGCACCACCCTTCTAGTCAGAGTTGATAAGGCATTGAGGCATCTCCATTTCCTTTCTTTTGTACCTCGACGTTGCTTTTTTTTTTGCATAGTTTTCATTCTTTCGATTAGCCTGCCGTCAAATCTGTGATGCGGCCGAATGCTAATGTCGGTCTGCTGTCTAAGCAGTAGTCCCATGGGTTGCGGCTGAGCCGATGTGTGTCTGTGCACGCTCATTCCTCCGTGGCTCTAAGTGCACAGACCTATCCGTACGTATGTTGATGTGGCGACAAGCGAGCCTTGGTCTGCTTACTTTGTGCCACTGAAGATTTAATGAGGCGAATAAGAAGCTTTTAGAGTCAGTGGAGGTGGATAATGTGGTTTAAGGCCCACTCATGTATGAGTGCGTGTGTTTGTGTGTGTTGGCCACCGGCTAGAAACATGGCTTCTCCTTTCTGCCCTGCTGCACCTCCACTAATAAGATTCGGGCGTCTGTGGCTGTGCTGTTGTTGGTGTGAAGGATCAGACTCTGCAGCAGGTCTGGACTGAAACAAACAACATAACTCAGCCTGTCTGAGGAGGGGGTCACCTGGTTGCCCAAATATACACTAATCAGGCATAACATTATGACCACCGACAGTTGGGAAGTCATTGAGGCTGTCCATCCTTCAAGCATAAGTAGGAATATGAAGCAATCAGAGGAGGTTGTACAAGTTGTTGGATGAACAGGCAATGTATTTACATCCTATTTTACCTTTAGCGGATCTTTTCCTCCTGATGATCAGATGTATATGTGTAGTGTTGTTGATCAACTATATCTCCTTCAATCCATTAAAATTGTTTTAAAGACAGAAATAAGCGATACATAGAACAAAGATGAGATTTTCATCAATGAAAACTTATAAATGAAAAATCTATTTACAATTTGCAAAAATAATCAAGATATCTTAAAGAACAGTTGATCTTAAAGAACTGTTGGTGCAGATTAAGAACCTCTTAAGATGTAAAATGTAAATCTTCTGCTCTTACCTCCTATTTTATTTTACCTCCACCCTGTCAGGACCAGAACATTTCTAAAAGGGATCATTCTCTGGTGAACAGATCAACACGGCTTTCAGTTTATACTTCCAGTTTGGAAACACAGTAAAAATCCTGTTTTTTTTATTTTTATGTTTTGGTCTAAAAACTACTTTTTACAAAAACGTCTTTGATTTCTAGAATAAATAAAAATATGTATTTTATTTTTACCTTTACAGAATCAAAATGAAGTATCAGGACATGTCTGAGACTAATAGTAATAACAAGGTTAACAAAACAGATTCCAGCAGGGTGTTGGGTCGCACTCTGATGGTATGAACACAGGAGCAGATGACGGCCACCCCCTCCTCCTGTCTTCATCCCTCCCTCCATCCATCCTTCCCTACTTCCCTACATCCCTTCCTCCCTCACCACCTGGAGCCAGCGAGCTGTGACACCAGAGGGAAGGAGGGAGTGATGATGGAGGGGCAGGGGACTGGAGGAACTGAGAAAAACAGGAAGGGCTTGATAGAGAGGGAAATAAAGGATCTTCAGTGGGTTAAATCAAACCAAAAGATGAGGTTATCTTTTACACAAACTGCTTGCTTGCTTGGCCATTTCACTGGTTTAAAGATATTTTAAAAAAACTACAAATGGCTCTTTGACCTTTAAAACTGTTTAATTAAGGAGCTCAATTGGATTTTTTTCATTCAGCCCCCCCTCCCCTCCTCTCTGGTGTGAAAAACACAAAGCAGCCTGGTTTCTTGCACAATTATCCATCCATCCATCTCTTATGCCAGTTAATCCTTGCAAGGAGGTTGATGCGTAGCTTCAGTAGAAAACAGCTGTAACTTCAGCATAATCTTTTCATTTAAAGCTGTACTAAGCAATTTCTAAGTAGAGCTCCCCCTACAGGGCCTTTTAAAAGTGGCGCTATGGTTCACACAGACTGACCTCAGAAAACACTCATCATGAAGAAACATCAGAGGAGGTAGAGGCTTTATTAAGCTAAAAACTTTACTTAATGCTGCTTTAATATAAAGCATGTCAGAAAAGGTTACTTTGTTTGGTGGTTTATCACTTTAAGGAAAACAATTATAGCATTTTAAGTAATTAAAACGAACCAAATTAACGGAAAGATAAATAATAAAAATCTTAAGATAAAGAATAAAAAGTAAAGCAATATCCATCTTTTTTTTCAGAATGCAAGGATATTTCCCTTATGCTCACCTCAGTGTAAAACTATAAGAAAATATTTAATTTTAAATGTATGTGTCAGGGTCCTGCCCTCTGCTTGGGTTTATTTTTAGTTTCTTTGTGTTCCGTGTCTTTGTAGTTTACGTTTACCAGTGCTGAGTTCTTTAGCGACCCTCTGTTGCCCCCTTGTGCTTGTTTTCCTCTCCTCCTGGCTTCCTCCTAGTTGGTCCTGCCCACACCTGCTTCCAATCTGCTGATTAGTCTGTCTTGGTTCAGTCTCCCAATATATACACCAACTCTGCAGTCACTCAGTGCTGGTTTGTTGTTTTGTTGCTTCCTCATTTCTGGTTCCCCATGTGAGTTTTCCCTGACATTTTGGTTCTCAGTATTTTTGGATTTTTGCCTCTGTTGCCTTCGACTACCTGATTAAATCTACATAACTCACCTTTGCATCCATATCTCGGCATTTATGTCCTCAAAAACCTCCACTCAACGTCAAAGTAGGATTTCTTTTCCAAAACAAGTTTGAAGACGTTTCACTTCCCATCCAGGAAGCTTTTTCATTTCAAAATGTCAGAAATAGCGTAGAGTTCAAGGCTTTATACAGTGGACCAAAGCAAAGCCTTGTTTTCGCTTAGAAACATGCAAATTGAACCTGACGACCTGGTACGCCCCTTTGGAATGGGGTCATTTTGTTTCTTTGCTAGCCTGTAATCCCTGAGACCTGTCTATGTCTCTGAAAGTCGTGATTGTTAAAGGGGATGGTTGGCCTGGTTGAAGAGGTGAGGTGCCCTGGTCCCCTGTAATGGGGTGGGAGTTGCGATGATAGTGGGAAGGAATCAACCCAGTCGTTGAATTGTAGGTTTTAGAACAGTCTGTGTCTGTTTAAGGTTGGTTTTTCTTTCTTAACATAGATGTTTTCCTAAAATATTTTCACATGAACCTTCTCCTTTTGAAAATGATCTCGTTCTTCCAGTTTCTTTGTGTCTAAGGTCTTTTTTTCGCTATGCAAATGACATATTTAGCACTAATGACTAAATCTAATTAGTTTATTTACATAACACCTGTTCAAATCAAATGTCATTTAAAGGCACTGTACAAGATGAATGGTTAAATTAATGTACAGAAGTACATGCTTAGCTCCAAAAAAAGAAGGAAAATATGTGCTTTGTCATGTTTTTTCGATAATACCAAATCTTCTTTGCAATAAATCATTTGTAAGGAAAATGCATTTGTGGTTGAAAAACGGGCCAAATTCTCCCTTGCAAGACCTAACTCAGTTAGATGGAGGTAGTGTGATGCTGTGGGTCAGCATTTCGCTCTGGTAAAATGATGCTCACCATCATCAGAAGCAATCAGTTCAAAGGTGATTTTCTTCAAGACTTCTGTGCTCCTCTCCATAGAGAGGGTTTAGTAGAGATCTTCAGAATTCAGGAGCGGAGCAGACCATGTTATACTGAAATGGTGACACACTTTTCTTACAAATGTCAAACCGTTTAGGAGGAAACAAACAGGATTTCTAACAATATAAGATTTATTTCAGAGAAGCTTTTGTTAGAAGAACAACATAAGAGGCTAAACATGTTTCTGTAATGAACTATGCTAAAGCATTCTGAAATCCTGTGACCTTGTATAAACATGCCGTTAGCTGTTTGTCAGTCCCTTTAACCAGGCGCTGTCGGCAGGATGGGTGCATTTGAATTGTTTGCTGTTATTTTTTTAAAGGATTTTTTTTGTCAGTGTGTGTTTGTGTTTTGAAGGCTGGGAGCATGGCGGTCCCCCGGAGAGCTCATTTTGTCGTCTCCTCGCTTGATTTACCTTCCTCTTCTTCAGCAGTTTATTACCAGTCATTACAAGCTGTTTGGAAACCTAATAGGACACGCTGACAAATGGACTGGGAGAGACCCAACAGGATCGGCATTCCTAACACGAAATAATAATCATTGTGTGCTTTCATCTGCGGGTGTTTGTATGAACAGCATCAGCTATCTTAACTCATGTGTAGAAGTTCTCGATTTTATAGAAAT